ACAGGGGGACTAAGAACTATATGTGTAAAAGAAACAAGCCAATAAATTTATCTCAAAGTGTTCCCTCTGAAAGAAATTAGAGGCACATGGACTAGCAATAGAAGCTGACTTCTGATCTCCAAAAAAGTGAAGTAATTTGTTCTCCAGGACCAACTAACCAGGATGTTTTTACAAGTTCTGCAATTCACTTCTCAAGTATTAAAAAGCTGTACAGACATTTATAGTCATATTTTTATTCTGGATCTTAAGGAAGAATCACAACTTCATTCTAAATTAAGGCAACATTCATAAACACAGCAATGGAGAATACTTCGAAATACTGCAAGATTTAAGTGTGTAAGCTGTATGAAAATGCATATTAAAACTCTGATGCCAAAAATACCTCCACAGAATGTCAGAACTCTCTTCAAAGAGAAAATATTATTAATGCTGTGACATGCTCTTCTGCCCCTTTACTTTCATGCTGCTTTGCCCATCCTTCTTTTTTGCTGCCACAGGCTCTGATAGGACTTTTCTGTTTCCTTTCTTAACCCCTTCATCTGCTCTTCATTTAAACCCCAATTAACCTGCCCTCATTTTTCCTCCCAGTTCTTTCTACTCAAAATACAAACATGAACTGTAGCCTTCTAGCATGAAATACTTCATCTCATTCCATGTATTGTCAGGTTTCCAAATGCTTAGCTATTTTACATTAAAAATGGTCATCGGATAAGGTACAAAAAAAGAGGCTGAAGCAGGAGCTGGAATGCAGCACTTCCAGTGCCCATGTGAGTGCTTCCACAGCTGGAGAGTTCTTCTTGCACTCGTATATTTTGCCCTGCATTTCTTCTCACCATGCTGTGCCACAGTTCCAGCAGGACAGCTGGTGAGCACTCTCTCCTGCAACCTGCTCCATCACAGGTTTCACAATAGCCTGTCTGGACCCCGCAGAAGATTAGATCCAACACCTCTACGTAAGATGTCAGTATGAGACAGGCACCAAATCTCTCCCCTTAACAAGTATGTAGTCAATTAGTGCAATTTTGGTGACATAGGAAGATTGCTGGTGAAATACTAAAGCCTGTGGCTCATCAAGCACAGGAGATGATACTGAAGACTTGGAAGGCTGTGCTTTTCCATTTATTAAACTGTGGCCAGACAGATGCAAGCAGTAATGTGGTTTTGGGCCAGGTGAGTACTTCTACTTCTCTGCTATACAGAGTAAAACACATTCCTTTTAACTAATTTAATTCAACAGTCTCCTGGGCCAACAGCGCTGGAATTCAGTTTTGCCCCACAGCCCTTTTATGGATCGAAATAGGCAACTATTCAATAATGTAGGCAAACTAGGGA